ATATAAAATAATATAATCGAAGTGAAGATTATTTTTAGGGTCATATGTATGTGTGTGTGTGTGTGTGTGTTTTAAATAACAGTGTCACATTTTGCATTATCATAATGAGAGTGGGAAAGGAATTTCTTTAATTGTCATCAAAATAACTTTCTTCATATGTTCTATGCAAAACGAATTCATATTTTTCTTTTGAATTTGGGGGGAAATATGAACCGGACATGTTCAGAATGTGATTGTACACAACCTAACCAAAAATACCATTATGTGCTTAATTAGACAATCAGCTAGAAGTCACCACATGTTAATTTCTGTAGTGAAGAGCAACACGGTTATAATCGTATTTTTGGCTGCCAGTTACACATTTATGTCAAGTCAAGTCAAGTCACCTTTATTTATATAGCGCTTTTAACAATACAGATTGTGTCAAAGCAACTGAACAGCATTAATTAGGAAAATAGTGTGTCAATAATGCAAAATGACAATAGTATTTCAATTTGATGGGGGCAACAGCTTCTAATGTATTAGAGAAGATAGATTATGTGCCATTTAAAGGCATATCAGTGTACCACTATGAACAGTGCTTATACATTCCCTTTTTTTTTTAACAAAACTGAATGTAATATACTTGTATGTGATATGAGATACAAGCAGCTTTCCCATAGAAACATCCTTCCAGATGTTTACAGTGTGTGTTCATTGCTGTTTCAGTGCTGCTACCACCTTAATGCTAACGACTGAGAGAATGACACATTGTAACGTTGACTGAAATGCACCAGTCAAATCATTCAGCTTTATTGTGTCCCAATAAACAAATAAACTGATTATGTGTCTTTCTGGAAACTTGTTTTAGTAAAAAAAAATATTTCCATGCATTTTTATAATGTAACATTTTATAGGGAAGCTATGTATGTACAGTGGTCCTGTACACTTACAATAAGACACAATATGAATGAATGTCATTTCACTATATAACATAAACTAAGTAGCATTTATGTTTAAGAAAGCTAGAACAGGACCACTTTCCAAGCAAAATATTTAATAACTGAAAAAGTTAGAGAGATTATTGATGATAAAACATGATGTTTATAGTGGTTAAACGTATATGGATCATGTTCATAGTTAATGTAATGAACTGCATCAGTGACAACTGACTTCATACATGCACTAAAAATCACTTTGACACCTGTTGGTGAATAGCTCAGAAATGTTGAGCTAGCTCTGAGAAAGCATCCAAAAACGAAACCTTGCTAATCTGGTGATTGTAAGAAACAGATCCATCATTAAGACACTTTTAACTTAAAACCATTGCTTTGGGCTAAAATCTGAGATCATAATCCATAATGCTTTCTCCACTGAAAAAGTCCATCTCCTGTTGTCTCTCACATCAAAAATCCACCCACTTTGAACTGTTTTGGCTTGTGAACAGTGCTTGATCTGTGCAGATTTCTCTTCTGATTCAGACAATGTTTTCACTGGAGAAAGCATCATTGATTGATCTCATATTTTAGCCAGAAGCAATAGTTTTAAGTCAAAAGTGTCTTGATGGATTTGTTTCTTAAAACATGCAGCTTTTGGCTTCAGACTTCATACATGCACTAAAAATTACTTTGACACCTGTTGGTGAATAGCTCAGAAATGTTGAGCTAGCTCTGAGAAAGCATCCAACAACGAAACCTTGCTAATCTGGTGATTGTAAGAAACAGATCCATCATTAAGACACTTTTAACTTAAAACCATTGCTTTGGGCTAAAATCTGAGATCATAATCCATAATGCTTTCTCCACTGAAAAAGTCCATCTCCTGTTGTCTCTCACATCAAAAATCCACCCACTTTGAACTGTTTTGGCTTGTGAACAGTGCTTGATCTGTGCAGATTTCTCTTCTGATTCAGACAATGTTTTCACTGGAGAAAGCATCATTGATTGATCTCATATTTTAGCCAGAAGCAATAGTTTTAAGTCAAAAGTGTCTTGATGGATTTGTTTCTTAAAACATGCAGCTTTTGGCTTCACAAGACATGGTCTGGAGTGGTGTGGATTATTGTGATGTTTTTATCAGCTGTTTGGACTCTCATTCTGACGGCACCCATTCACTGCAGAGGATCCACTGGTGAGCAAGTGATGTAGTGTTAAATTCCTCCATATCTGTTCCTATCAAGAAACATAAGAAATCATCTACATGTTGGATGGCATGAGGATGAGTACATTTTCAACACATTTTTATTTCTGAGTGAACTATTCCTTTAAGCGCAGACATCCGCTTTGCTATTTTGTTAACTAATGGAATGACATTCAGAAGTGTGAAATAGCTTTAGACCTTTACAGTAGTAGTAAAGAATGTTACAACACTGACATCTGCTGGCTCATCGCAAATATATTATATTCTTTTCGTATTTCTTATAAACCCTTGTTTCATATTCCTTGTTTGGATCTGATGTGGTAATTGTTGTGTTCAATCTGTTCAGTCCAAGTGTGTTGCACTTAAAATAGCCTTAAATGTAGATCCAGAATATATTCTCATATTAAATATCAGATTTTATTGTGATTATTAAATCCTCATCATCTCATATATTGTGCTTTCAGCCTGTACTTAGATTTAATCTGCTTTGGACTGTGTACTTTACACAATGCATGTAAAGGTAAATAAAAAGCCATTTTAGGTCGAGTGTATCTGTGCACTCATGTTGTAGCTGGACATTAATGGTGTTGTAACAGTGTGTTTGTTTTGTCTGTGATAACAGCGTGTTTTGAAGATCTCACTGACCTGTGGACACTAGATGGGACAGCAGCCAGAACGGCTGTTGTCACATCTGCACTGAAGCCTGTTGCCCATTTCCAGCAACTGCACTATAAATGTTTCCATTTAAAGCACTTTTACTGAATGTCCATCTCTAGTAGCACTGCAGGTGCTGATATTCAGACCAAAGGCATGATTGTGAATGGGATGTTCTTCAATAAACAATTAGTTAATAGACCATGTTTTCCCCTCTGAAATGTAAGCTACTGTTGTTAATAAATAGTTGCATAACTTGTCAGAGCATCAAGTGTTACATATGTCACTAGCCGCGCACAGCTCTGGAACAGCATGCTTTGAGTGACCACGGAGTGAGAGAAAACAGACAATTTTCACACACACATTCACACCACGGCAAGTGAAAACAGAGTGATACAAAGTGTGAGAAATCCCAGTGATGTTATACTGTATATCAAAACTCTTGGAACGCAGCATGAGCAATGAAATCTAAAGACAAGAACTGTTGTATAGGTCATTTAATGTTATATTGTGGAAAATTTATTTTTTAAATTCTTTATAAAAAATGTATAGTAAATAAATACATGTATTTTATACTTAAACTTTATTATAGTATAGTATAGTATAGTATAGTACTGAGGAACAACAAATAAGCTCAATCATTTAAATAATGTCACAGTGCAAACATTTTAATGGTCCAATTGTTCCATTTATTTATTTTCACCCAAATATATTTTGGTGTATTTAAAAGGTATATTTATTGTATATTTAAGGTATGTGCTAGGTTATTCCTGAGATGGTCAGTGAATTAGATAACACATTATACACACTATAAATGTTCACATTACAGCATGTACTTTATTTTGTATGTATGTATGATTGTATGTATTTATTTATAAGCAAAAGCACTGTCATGCTGTAATTACTTTTTATTTATTTATAAATTATATTATAAATAAATAAAAAGTGCTGCAATGCTGTTATGTGGAAATGTTTTACATGAAATATATTATATTATATACTGGGGAACAAATTAGCTCAATCATTAATATAACAAAACAAACAATTTTAATAGCCAATGATTCCAATAGGCTTCGAATTAATATATATATATATATATATATATATATATTGTGTGGTGGCTG